TTCCTCCAGTCCTTCGCATTCTTCACAACTAAATAAAAGCGCTGGTGATGCTTGTTCAGCTCTGCACACTTACTACTGTACCACTATGAGAGCTTGGTAAGGTAGCGTGCAATATCAGGGTCGTCCAGAGGAACATCGAGGTCCCCTCGTATGCGGAACAGCTGCTTCACAAAGAGAGGTGGCTCCTCCGCCTTCACTCGACTCAATGCAGCCTCGAACTGTTCTTTTGTACCGAATTTCTCTGAAGAGTGTATGAGGGAGGCAAAGGGGGGTGTGGGCGAAAAGGAATGGAGAACATTTCACAAAGAGAGGTGGCTCCTCCACCTTCACTCTGCCTAACGCCGTCTCCAGCTGCTCCTTTGTTCCACTAAGAGAGGTGGCTCCTCCACCTTCACTCTGCTTAATGCTGCCTCCAGCTGCTCCTTTGTTCCGAATTTCTCTGGAGTCCGGAGGGGAGGCAAAGGAGAGTGTGGACAAAAAGGAGTGGAAAGTATTTCACAAGAGAGAAGCGGCACCTCCGCCTTCACTCGACTCGATGCCGCCTGCCACTGCTCCTTGCTGCCGAGTTGCTCTGGAGGGGGGAGAGAGGGGGAAGGGGGACATGAGGCAACATCAGGAGAGGCGGCTCGTCCGCCTTCACTCGACTCGATGCCGCCTGCCACTGCTCCTTGCTGCCGAAATTCTCTGGGGAGAGGGGACGAGAGGAATTGGAAGGTGAGGGAGGAAAGGATTATGGGGTGGGGAATGAGAGAAAATGGGAGTGAATGGAAGGGAATGAGAGGGAATGAGAGGAAAGGGAACGAGAGGGACTGAGTGGGAATGAGAGGGAAGGGAATCAGAGGGAGTGACAGGGAACGAGAGGGAATGATAGGGAACGGGAGGGAATGGATGGAAATGAAAGGGAATGAAGGAATAATAACGCTGTACCACTACAAAAACCCCCCAAGGGAAGGAAACGGGAAGACGGGAGTGTAAGCAAAAAAGGGTGGGTGGTGGGGAAGCATCGAGGAACGCATCTGGACGTGGGGAGGCTAAGATGGTCAAGAGAGAAGGACGGGGGGGAGGGGAAAAAGGAAGAAGGGGACAGGGGAGCAGAATTCAGAGAGGAATCGGAAGAGAGGGGAGGATGATGTAAATGATGATCTTTCGAGAAATCTTAGGATACCTTGCACTCGGTCAAGCGCTCTGGCAACGGCGGGATCAAGGCGAGGCAGCGTGGGAAGCACGCCCGTGGCGAGAACCTCGGGAGTGAGCTCTACCTCTGTGCTGCTGTGCCGTGCACCCGATGCCATGCTTCCGCTGCTGATAGATGGGTAGAAGGGGAGGGGAACAGGGAGGATCGAGTGCAGGATTGAGGCAGCGTATCTGTGCTACGTGCCACCATTTGCCCTGCTGGCGTGAGGGGGTGGAAGGGAGGGGGTGGAAGGGAGGGGTTGGAAGGGAGGGGGTGGAAGGGAGGGGTTGGAAAGGAGGGGGTGGAAGGGAGGGGGTGGAAGGGAGGGGGTGGAAGGGAGGGGGTGGAAGGGAGGGGGTGGAAGGGAGGGGGTGGAAGGGAGGGGTTGGAAAGGAGGGGGTGGAAGGGAGGGGGTGGAAGGGAGGGGGTGGAAGGGTGGGAAGCACGCCCGTGGCGAGAAACTCTGGAATCAGCTCCACTTCCGTGACTGTACTGCGTGCTGCCGCAGATGCCATGCTGCTGGGGGGAGAGGAGAAGGGGAAGGAGGAGGAAAGAGCGTGAGAGGCACAGCCCCATGGAAATGCAGGGCTCTCGTCAACACCCTGGCGAGGCTTTCAAACAATCGAATTCTACCTCAAACTCCTGTAAAAGAGAGTCAAGCTCTCGTATGGCGCTTCTCTTTTTCGAGTCAGACTAAAAAATCGGCTCAACCCTCATGTAACGCTGCGAGCAAAGGGAGTCGGTAATGAGGTTGCCTGGTAGCTGCCTGGCATTCTGACGCTTTCGGCCCACCCGCACAAGGGAATACTGCAAACTCTAGCTCGTTTTAGAGAGATTTCGAATGAACGGAAAGACAATACGATACAGGAAAATGTTTCCCTGTATGATTCCGTTTTCCGTGAGTGGACGTCTATCATACCACGGAAACCGAGCCTTACCGAAGCTAATGGCTTGTCTACTCGAGACGGAGCAGGGACCAGGACAGGTTCGCCTGATGCGCCAAGGTATAATGGGGAGTAAGAGCGCGGCGCGACGGTGAAAGAGGAGGTGGACGTGCGTACGCTGTTAGGAAAACACGGTAAGGTAAGAAACTGTCACTCATACGGTATCAAGGTTCTGTACAAGATTTTTAAATATACGGTACGCATGTTTTGCTCCATGTTTCCTTCCTGCCATGGGTGTCCACCATTTGAAGGTAAGAACACGTGCAGGATTATGCATGAAGATCTAATGGGTATATTATTTCAGGCACTACTGGTTGAGTCTGGTGGTATCTGCAAACCATTTGAAGGAAAATGAATCAATTCACAAGCCTAAGAAGACAATTTGTCAGTACAAACCTCAATAACAACCAACCTTAGTAGGGCCATCGGCCAAAGCTGTATTAAACAAAAACCTTACTGGAAATGCCATCATTGCACCTGCCCTGCCGTCCTCTTAGCCCCACAAAAGCTGCTGGTTTCCACAAGCTGCAAGAAGCAGAGTGGAGTGGTACCAAACCATACATACCAGCCATCCAACAAACGCAACCCCTCTGCCCCACCCCCCCTTCCCCCCTAGCACAACCAAATCACCATCCTGTGGCTGTTCAGATCTGCATATGCAACAATCACATCCGCATCAGTCACATCTGCCACAGTCACTCCCCTCCCCGTCTTCATTGCCCCCCAGGCGGGGGGGGCATGCCTGGGCGCGGGGGGCCATACATCCCCGGATGCCCCCCTGGCGGAGGGGGCATCCCCGGCCTGGGCGGACCCATCATCCCTGGCGGAGGCATTCCCCCGGCGGGGGCATTCCCCGCCCGTACTGCATCGGCGGCGCACCGCCTGGCGGAGGGCCGCGCGGGGGGAATTGCGGAGGCGGACCGCCAGGGGGACCGTAACCGGCGGGCGGGGGAGGCATGCCCGGGCGCGGGGGACCCTGGGGGTACATGGACGGGGGAGGGCCCATCCCGGGCGGGCGCATTCCGCCTGGCGGGGGGGGCATCCCCGGCCGCGGCGGAGCTCCCCCAGGGAAACCCGCGGGCGGGGGGAACGAGACGGGAGGCGGACGGCCAGGAGCAGCGCCAGCCGCGCCTCCAGGAGCCTGGTACGAGATCGGCGGAGCCGCAACTTGCGGGCGCGGCTGCATCAACGACGGCGCCGGTCCCCCCACTCCACGCGCGGGCCCCGCCAAGCCGGGCTGCGCTTGACCGAGCGGAACCGTCGGAACTCCGCGCCCTGCCGCGCGCCCAACACCGGGTCCCCCTGCCGCTGCGCCGGCGGCTCTACCACGGTTCTCATCCTGCGGCGGCGGGCCTTCGACGGTAAGACTAACTACCTCCTCCCCGCGGAGAATAAGTAGCCCTAATGTCCGGCGCTCCTCGCGTCCTCCCGGCGCCTTGGAGCCCTTTTGGGTGGCAGCTTGCGGAACTCCTCGCAGTCCCCCAAGGACGAGGTTCATGTGGCGATCGTAGGCCATGAATTTCCCGACGAGCTCGCGGCCATCGGTGGACGGTCACGCGCATTGCGGTAGTTTGAATGTACTGTCAGCAGCTTAGATCCCTTGGACATCGACATGGCGCCTCGATTTTCAGCGCCGTCGACGTAGGGAAAGGGGATTAGTTATCAAAAGGACGACTAGTCAGATCATACGTACTAGAGTTATGAAGACACGACTGAAGGGGGGCAAGTACTAGCGGGACTGACGGGAACGAAGACACCAGAAAATATGTCGAGCTTTAGGGTTGAGCCTCTCTTTAAGATGAGAAGCGGGACAGCCATTTGCTGGTCGGACAGTGTAACATGTTTGAAGTGTGTGAGGAATATAAATGCATGTGCTATCCCCGCTACAATTCAACTACGAAATTTGTGCTCCTCTGTGGTGCTGGGAAATTTTTAGGTGCCGTACAAGAATGTGTAAACAGAATAATTCACATATCAGATAGCAATGTATCTTATCATCCCACATGTACGACGTGATGATTCGTTCTAGAAATATAAATCAAGAATAACATATACAGTTATTCTTGGTGTGTACTTGATTACCTCATGTGGATAAGAGGTCCGAAGTCCATAGCAGGATTGCTGCTTCTCGGTGTATATGTCCCAGATATCTTGCCGCGTATGTCAGAATCGCAATAGAGCACATGGCTCAGTGGCCAATGGTGGCGCCAAGTTCTGTCAGCGCGACGAGGAATCCCGCACTGACAGGTCGAACAGCCTGCTTTTCCTGATCGAATGGGTTCGGTCGCACGTCCACTTTGAGTCGCTGCTGGCGACTGTCTGACGACTTTTGAAACCTCGGGTCGCCGTCGACCTGCGTTTCGCGAAAAAGCAGTTCCGGTCGCACATATTCGAAAAACTCTGTGCATCCCTGGCGACAATCTGACCAGTGGAGGGAAGCCTTGATTGAGCCTTTGCGATGCGATGACCATCAAGGTCTTGCGACGGACTCGCTTCGCAGGCAAGCCCAATCAATTCTTCCCCGCGACCATCCCATCCGACCCATTTGAGGCACCTGCATCTGGTTTCCTAGATTCTACCATCTCTGCTTCTCAAGTCACCTACTAGTCGATTTACACATATCTTCGCAGAATTTAGTGTTATCATTTGAAGTCGCTGCTCCATTCTGCTGTCTTAGCTCTCTGCGGTTTCTTACCCTAGCTGGTCGATAGGGCTATTGTCATCATGCCGCAGATCCAGTATTCTGAGAAATATTTCGACGACGTCTACGAGTACAGGTATCCAACTTGTTACCGCTTGTCATCCATCCGAGTGCAGGACAGCAGCCGAACTAGTAGTCCATGGCCCTGAAACTGAACGTTTCGTTTTGTCGGGTGCCTCTTGCAGGCATGTAGTTCTCCCTCCTGATGTGGCGAAGTTACTTCCGAAGAACAGGCTGCTGTCCCGAGGTAATTGTTGTCATTGGTGTTCGGACTGAGAATATGGCATGCATGGTCAGAGTTCCAACCTGACAGTTTTTTGTTGCTGGTGTTGACTGTCTGCAGGCTGAATGGAGGAGCATTGGCGTGCAGCAATCTAGAGGATGGGTTCACTACGCTATTCATCGGCCCGAACCTCACATCATGCTTTTCCGTCGGCCACTGAACTATGGACAGCAGGTTCAGCCGCCGACGCAGCAACTTCAGCAGCAAGTAGGAGCATAAGATACTACTGCGGCGACCACATACGGCTGGTGCAGAGGATTTGACCGAACAAGCGTCACCACTCCTCTGTCGCCAAGCATAACCTGTGTCTAGGAAAAAACAATCTGTCAATACTCAACGCCTAGTTGCGATTCCTTATTTTCTTTCTATTTTATATTAAGAGGTTCCCACTTAGATGTCATCCAGGCTTTGCTGCACATCTTCCATGCACAGTATGCTTGTTACCATGCTCTAAAGCTTCATAACCTAGTGAAGGATGTTCCTGTTTTATCTAGGAACTCCAGCTGGTAGATTATTTTAGTACATAATAAATAACAGGCAACCACTGTCATGGAGGAGACAAGGCAGTTTGGCTGGCTAAAACAGATCATGTCTCACACTCGTGATCAGCCAGATCCCCCCTTACTTTGCCGGAATAATGATCCTTCATTATCGAAGAGAGCCATGCTACACCATATCATCTCAGTATGTGTCAGCAGAGTCTGAAAAATCATCAGAGCGCTCAAACATTGCATGAGAATCACACTAGTGACAGCATTTCACGTCTACCTATCTCCAAAGGTAACCTTTTTTCTGATCATAGTTGAACACAAAGCCACTCAAAGCAACTGTACAGCAGCAATCGATGGAATTTTCTCCCTGAGCTTCTGGGTAACAGCCACTCTGACCGTCATTACTCCTGCTGCGGGCCCATCGATCCTGACCTTCACAATCGGAGGATCAATCTTCACAAGAGTCAGCTCCCCACCACCCGTTCCTACCAAATATGGCCTGATCTCGGACAGCACCTGAAAGCAAAAAGGAAACTATCAGTACACATCTCTGAACAAAAAACACATCATAATCAGGTAAAACACGATGCATTAACCACAGAAAGACTCTCACCTTTTCTACATTCTCCTCGTCCAGTGGAAGGCCCGTCTCCTGGTCCGTGATCTGCTCGACAGAGACTATCTCTGGAATCTTCTCCATCAACCTCCGTTCGATCCCCATCTTCATGGTCATCGTGGAACTCGGGCACGAGCCACACGCACCCTGAAGCCGCAGCTTCACGACGAGACCGTCAATGTCGTACAATTCCCACATTGCCGCCGTCCGCCATCAAGTACGGTCGAACCTCGTCAAGAACCTTCTCGACGTTTTCCTCAGTCAGCTCCAAACCCTCGGTAGAGACATCGCCTTGTGAAGCAAGAGCAGCTGCTGCAGTACACAATAGCAAGGATGCTCAATTGCTCCGGCTACCTGACATGATGAAAATTTTGCGAGAGTTTTATGCCAGCGTACCTGTAGGTCTCTTCTGGAGTACCTCTGCTCCCCGATACTCTCCGCGTTTCTGGCTAGGGGTGCAGCACGAAACTGCATGGTAGAAACGCTTCCCGTCATAAGCTATACAAGTTGAAGAAGACAATACGACTGGAAATGACGTGATCCACGAGCTAAGCCTCACCTGTCGACCTAGACGTGATGGAGCGATTGCTGAACTGACTAACGTCGATGCTTCCCTGACGACGCCACTGAATGGAGCGAGACGAAGCGAGATAGTTGCCATTGTTCAACGGAACTTTGATAAGAAAGAATTGGCTAGCTGCGTCAACAAGATTTTACCCGCTCCACCACACAATTTCAGCAGCTCCTAAAAAAAGGAGCAGAGTAAACTTGTGTAATTGCTGTTCACGCAAGGTTGCTGTAATTGCGATTCTAGTCACTCTGCTTCAAGACCGCCGACCCTCCGTTCACGCCGCTCACGCAACGTTGGGCGACACTCTCCAGAGTCACGCAAGGACTCTTCTGAGGTTACGGGATTACTGCGCCTGGCACGCACAGCTGAATGGCTAGGCTGGGCTAGGGGTGCGCACGTACCAGAGGGAAGGGTTGTGGGGTGGTTGTAGGGGACGGACGGGGGTGGGGGAAATGGGGGGTATCTGGAGGAGGAACCTGTGACCTGCACGAGACTGGCTTCCTGGTTGCTGTTCGATTCAAGCATGCTCGGGAAAAGGCAATGTCGACTCCAGTGTTTTTATGACACTTGGCACAATAAGGTGACGTGGCAGTTGTCGGTAGTTATGCTATTTGCGAGTGGCTGTGTTCGTGTACGAAGCAACACTAAACCCATAGGTTGTTATGAGTTGTAAAAGAGAGTGCGCAGGTAAACGAATAACGAGACTGTGACTGAATCAACTGAGAATGAATGCACTGACTAATGTAGGGCTAGCCTAGCTAGGAGGAAACCTCGGACGAGCGAGGTTGGGTGCAGGTTTGGCGATGGAAATGCCGAAGGCGACGCGAGGAGCCTTGGCAGCGTTGAAATCGGCCGAACGTGCGAACTCCGAAAATCGGGTTGTACGCGAAGCAGTCAACCCCGATAAGGAATTCGGGAAAATTCCTTACACCACCCCCCCCCCCTTAAGAAAGGCGGTTGTTACGATGTGAAGTTTTATGAGAAGGCATTCCTGTATGCTGCAGGAGCCGACTCTACCGAGTACGAAGTTGAGGAGTCAGAAGAGCCGAAGCGACGCAGCAACCGTCAGACCTGTTGGGCTGAGATAGCCCCTTAGGATCTTTGCAAGGGATAACTCTAGGTGAAGTAGTTGTAATAGCGGAAGCGTTTAGTGAAGAATTTGAACCGACCTTGCACTGGTGTGTGAGAGCAAAGTTGATTGAATTAAACAAGCAAATACAAGGATTTATATAAGAGTACAGGGAATAGATAGATAACTGTATTGCTGTTGCGGTTCGATATAGCGCGACTCGGGCAACTGCTCTGTAACGAGTCAGTTGTGTGTCCTTAACTGTCGCGCTGTAATTGTCGAGTCAAAGGTCAGCGACCTTTGACTTTCTCGTAACCTCCAGGCGGTTACTCTAACCTCCGAGGTTGACTCGATGCTTCGATTGGGACTGCTTCGCTTGGTACCTTGGATTTTGATACGACAGAAGCGCACTTAGGACTTATTGTTTCCAACACTCCCCTTCGCTTCTGGAGTGTTACTGCTGGTGACGTGGCCTTGTCCAGTCAGCATCATGCAGTATTCGAACTTCTGCTTGCCGAGTTTCTTGGTCAAGTAATCGGCTGCCATCTCGGATGTTGGACAGTATGACAGATCGAGTTTCCCTTTTTCTATCTCGTCCTTCACGAAGAAATAGCGCAGGGCGATGTGTTTCGTCCTGTTTGCGAAGCCGTTTTTGTTGGCGATGCGAATTGCTGACTGGTTGTCGCAGAACACGGTGAAGCTGGGTAACTCGGCTAGCTTCGCTTCTTCCAGTAGTTCGCGAAGGTAAAGTCCCTCCTTGGTGGCTGAGCAGAGTGCAATATATT